AATATCACGTAACAATATCTCACTAATTCGGTTGACCTTGTTTCAGACTTGATTTTATCGATCGGATAATTGTAATCGAAAGAGTTCACTAGAGCTTACCGATAATATGATGATTAGAGAAACATGTTTCAAGATGCCATTAATTACGTTAAATATGATTTAAGCATTTTGAGAGGTATACTGTTATGATTGAAAGCAAACAAGCGATGATAGTTGCATACAAGCACACACATACAAAACATAATTTACTTTTATTCATTACAAGTTTTAAGATTTCGTCTTGGTAAAAAAACGTGTCATATGACGTCATATATATATATATATATATATATATATATATATATATATCAATGCTTATTATATATGTACGTATATATATAAAATCGGTAAAAATAAGCATTATTTTTAGGCGTCTGTTACGTTTCATTTTACGCTAGTTCATATATTATCAGCGTGATTTCCAGGCACCAAAATCAACTGTACCATCATAAACCTACATAGAATGTTGAGTTCAACGTGAACAATATAACAGAGAGAACCATGAAGTAATCTTCAATCTGTTACTTCATATTTTATCGTTTACAAAAGTTACCTCACATTTAAAAATGTATTACTATTTCTTTAGTTGAAACGATAAAAAAACGTGATTATGTTTTTCTTACTTGTCTCTGAAACAAAATAAAAGAAGAATCATTTCTTCAAAACTAATCCATCATAGTTGGTCTTACTTTTTTTTTAAACTGTTAGCACAAAAGTGTAAAAGAACACTGAAACTAATCTGTAAAAAAAATGTTGAAGACAGCTATCACTGTATTCAATACCTTATTGACAAAATAGTATTCTACAAGTAAAAATTTACAGTTCAAATTTTTATACAGCAAAAATCATAGCTATGACGATTACATCCTCTAACTATTCTTAGTCAATCACAATGTCATCCATTGTATCTTGCTTAATGGTTGTTTGTTTTTGAAATTGAGGGAATCATTCAATGGAATAGTTTTGAATTGTATTCTTTAGTTCACAGTAAGTATATTTTAAAGTCATATGGGATACAGATTGAAAATATTTTTTTCTGTGAACTATAATCCATATATATTTACATCAATGAGGTATATCAGAAAGCTAAGTTATATTTATAAGTAATTCCTACTGCACATTGATCATTGAAAAATCTACAATGACTAATCAGAATATACAGCTGAATTATTGGAAATATCAGTCTGTAAGTAAGTATTCACAAGTTTATGCACTGTAATCATTATTAACAATAAATAAATAAATAAATACCAATAGATCTGAAGAGAAATCCTGTTTATTTCGGATTAGGCACAGTTGAAAACGTGTTAATGATGAAAAACAAAATTAACATTTGTTTTTATATGAGAGTTATGCATCATTGTGGAAAACTAAATGTTATTCTTGCTTTAATTAAATTACACATAGATGACTCATTGCATTCAATGTGTTTCATTCAGGTGATTTCATAGATTTGTTTATGAAACGAATTTTACTTATTTTATGCTTCACTGCTTGTCTACACCACTGTTTTGAAGCATCTTTGAAATCTGTGGTTAGCTGTTCAGAAATTATGCTGTAATTCTAAACACATGGATTCCGATGAGAAACGTTATCTCTGTGAAGTTTTCACCTGTTATCTATCGATCAGTGTGCGTTTCTATAACAAATTGGAATGTCGGGTGTACACTGCCTACCATTTCAACAAAAAAGATCTATCTCTGGCAAGTAAACGGTTTGACGACGAGCACTGTAATTTAATTTCCGATTATATATGAAAATCTATTTAGATAGATATAAATGAAAATTAAAAGAGTAAAACAGAATGTACAATTTTGCCACTGTTTGATAGTATTTTCAAAAGAGATAAAAAAATGTAAGTGAGGAAGAATTCAAACTACTTTTAAAAAATTGATCAATTTGTGTACGTCAAATGGTTTTAAAATTTCGAGAGATTTCTGTCATCAAGTATTTTCTTTTGTAAACACTCTAAAATATAACCTGAATTTCCCCTTTGTGTGTATTGACGTCATAAACTGACAGTTCAAGAGGAAATCAATCATTTGACTGACAGAATGAATTAAAAATCTGATCACCTAAGATTCTCAAAGAATTAAAAACAAGAGAAAAATTTACAGTTTACAATGATAGATTAGTTAAACATAAAAGTTTGAAATGCAAATGAAGCTGCTTTCACTTTCCGAGTGTGAATGCTCATTTTATTGATTACAAGTGATTCAAATAATGTTAAATTGTAATCAGTGGTAAGAAATTAGATAATGTATCAGTATTTGAAAAAGACAGCGATTTATATGCTTTCTTTTTCTAATTATTCAAGCATTTCAATAAAGTCACTCCAAAATGCTTAGTTTTTGAAATCAGGGACTTACGTCTTCATAATAATCTCATGACAAAAAATAGGCCTAATACTTTTCTATGGTACACACACATACTGAAACATTTGATTTAATTGGAATCTTTTCATCTGCAACATTTGTATTGTAAATTTAATGTTAAAAATAATCAGTACTGTTCTTGCATGTATTCCTGGAATGGTTGTTTCAGTCAGCAGTAGTGATATACAGTGGCTTATAAAGATTAGCTATTGATGGTTTCGTTAGTAGTGTTACAGAAAGAAATCTTTTTTTAGACCAGCGATTCATATTACAGTGAACGATTTCAAACTGATATTCTGTATGTTTGTCAGAGAGCTAAAAACAATTTTACTGTTTGGTTACGTTAATCCCGATAACCGAGAATCATTTTTTCTGAAAATATGGAGTTTAATGTAAATTAATTTTGAAAATATCCAGGCTCAGGTATGTGGGTTAGATCAAAATTTCGATCGGAAAAGAAAGTGTGAAACATTTGTAAAAAAAGAATTTTTTGAAATACTTCAGGAAAAATCTGATCAGAAAAAAAATGCAATTTTAACTATTTTACACATTTGAAATCATCAGTCAGTCATTGTTAGACCACTACCATTAGAAACCTGGGAGCACTGGACGGGCTTCTCGTCCTGGTATGTGACTCATCAGCAGTGCACATCCACGACTCCTGCATCTCACAGGATGCGAACCCGAGACCTTCGGTCTTGTGCGCGAACTCCTAACCTCTGGATCACTGGTCCGGCATCCAACGGTGTTAATGACTAACTCCGATTGATCAAGGGATTTCGCGTGACCTCACCCATTCGCCTTTGATAGTTACTGCCTACACCCGATAGGGTTGAACTCCACTTGTCACATCTTCCTACTAGACCACCAAGAATTTCCTGCGAGGTGCAGGAGTCATGGAGGCGCACTGCTGATGAGTCCTATACCAGGATGAAGCAGCCGTCCAGTGGTTTCCAGTTTTCCAATGGTGGTCTAAAATTCATTGGTTGATGATTTCAAATGTGTCAAAACACTGATCTCCATAACTCTAATTGAAATTTTAACTATGAAAAGTTATCCTTCAAATCAACTCGGAAATTCGTACTACTAAAACTGACATCTTTTAAGGTTAATTTAGTCTTGAATGTTATTAAAATTTTTGTACAATTTATTTGTGTAACTGAGATCTAACATAAATTAATGATTTGTTCTACATACAAATCATCTTGAGAGAACATTTAAAATAGAAATTTAGAAGCAGAGTTAAAATCAAGTTCTTAAAACTGTTGTTCAACTACTTGGCAAACTGTAATTATCATAAATTGATAAGCGTTCATAGTTCTGGACAAAAATATACTTTTTTTATCATACTGATGCTTCTGAACTTAAACAATAATCAACTTATTCTCTTCATAATCACCTTTAAGCCCACTGAAATAAGACAAAAAAACATATTTCAAGTAATAATATTTAAACCTGAACTAAACAATAGTTTATGATGTAATAGATAGAAGTTCATTTTTTCAAGTTTTGAAATAAATTTAGTCAACAAAATATATGAAATTTCCAACACAACATATTTCCGACAAGTAATAAATTTAAACAGCAACTCTGTGTGTGTTATAAACAATAAAAGGTTTTTAAAAAAAATACCCATGATAAAGTAAGTGAACTTTAAAATATTACCTTCCTTTGATTATATATATATATATATATAACTTTATGTTCAAATGATATATTTACAACTAAAGAATATTTCTCACTGGCAGAAATTACTATAATAATAATGATAATAATTTAGTTATTCATAATAAAATGAACATTTAGATAAGTTAAATACTCATGTTTCCTACAAATGGTTTGTTGAACGTAGCAAAGAATTAACTGTTTGATAGCAATAAAGTAACTCATTAATTTGTAATTGTCACAAAAACATTGGATATTTCTGCAATAATTATTGATAAAATAACTTTTCTAAGGTCCTTCTTTACAAACACATTTACAAACTAGTGTAGAGTTCATTGTATTATGCATTTTGGTCTAAAGTTCTATGAATTTATTTAGGAACTAATGGGGTAGATGAATTCCTAGCATATGTGAAATTATCTAAAATGTTTCGATCCCCGAATGCTTGATTTTGTTTGAGGGTCAGCAGGACGTCTTGGACCTATGTTTTCGTAATACGTAGCATGAATCATCATGATTTATCTTACATTTTGATGAGATCGATGTCTATCGCTCATCACTTAGGATTAGAAGAACACAGAATTAGTTAATCACCATTGATTTGGCAATGTAGATTCAATTTTCTCATACTGATAATATCATTGTTTTCAAGTTGACAGAAGTATCTATGCTCTTCTATACGTAAAATATACTCAAGTAAACAAGCACTGTAAAGTATACATCAGATGCTCAACAGCCTCTGCAGATTTATTTATAATCTGATAAATACTACAAGTTCCGATCGTATATTCATGTCCAGATACGCTTGTTTTGATTTTGAAATTTCACTTCAGTTATTTTTTTGTAATTGCAAATTTAAAACCTTTGAATAAGGACTCAAACTTAATAAATGTTTTCTTTTTTATAAATATCATAACTTAGGTTCTAGTGAATTTGGAAATTTTGTAAAAACAGATTATAATGACACAAATTTATATCCTGGTTCTTTACTTCTACGTAAAGCATCTACAAGTGTAACACTTAAACAAAACGAATCATATTCACGTCGACCAGATGAATATTCGTTAGAAGGTGACTCCAATTACAACATCATTACCAACAATAATAACAAAAATAATCAAAGTAACAGAGAGATTGAAGGCAACACATCACGCTTCAATGAGCATAAATCAATTAAAAGTAATGTGTTAGTTTCTAGTAATTTGAAATTAACACCTCAAAATCCTTTGGCCGAACAACAAATTGTTAATATAAATGAAGCAGAATTAGCTTATGGTATGTAAATTGTTTTTTTTATACATATACTTGAAGGTTATTAATGCATAATTCCTCACTATTATTACGATTATAAGTGAAAGTTGTACTAAAGAAATTCTAAACTGACGTCACTGATTTGATAGTCATTCTAGGCACAGTTTGGATCGTATTAATAGTAGCAACTGACATAAAATGATAACAAAATCATAAGTTTTGCTGAATATTTGTATGCGTAAAAGCCACTTTTATCACTTTTATCCCTTTATATCTTATGGTAGCACTGAATAGTTCACTGTTATTTACACTGAAGATTTCAAACCTGTACAAAATATCTTTAATTCGATTGAACTACCATACATTGTTCATGTGAAAACAGTTCCCGCGTTACATTTAACTTCAAATATATTCATTTTCAACCAGTAAATTTGGTTATGAATTATGTTCTCGAATACTGAATGAATAATTCAGTTCAAATCAGAAAAATAATAAACATCTGTCAGCTAATAATAGTAACAATTAGTTGCATTTCGTATGTATATAAACATTCGAATAGACAGGAAACGATATCACATATTCCATGAGCTTCTGTCTTTTTCATTGCCATAATGAATTTAGTAACTGAATGTCAAACAGTTTGCTTTCATAATTACGTTTATTTGTTTACATTTTTAGAACAACATAAACGAATGAATCCAAGACAAAAGACATCACGTACCAATCAAAAAAGTTCAGGATTTCTCACTGAAGATTATCCACAAACATCGTTTACTACTGATTGTGGTTACGAGAGTGAACCGAAATCATTTATTTGTACAGATGAAGTAAAATCGCACAAACAGTTTACAGGTTATAATCAAAAATCATTTTCACCAGGTATGTTCAGTTAGTAATATTATTTTATTGTTTTATAACATGTATGAGGAAACAACTATCACACTTCCTAGAACAATTATTAAAAGATGGATAGAAACAATGAAATCAAATATATTTTTATTAAAATCAAGTTAAGATTGTGTTCAGTGATGAAGTAAATCAACAAAGAACAAATTATCATACAAAATATATTCTTTTATCAATTATTTCAATTTCATTTCATCATTAACCGAAGGATTCACCAAATCCTATTGGGAAAAGAGAATGTAAAAGTATAATTGTAAAATGATATCATCATGTCATACAAGGCGAAGATGATGGTTTTCAGTATCATCATGTTGTCATTATCAGTAATAGAAAAGCTTTCCAACTAAAAATTAGCAAAAATAAAATTCAACTTCGTAACAAATTTTCAGTTGAGATTATCTACTGTATATGTAAATGGTTATATCTACTTTTAATTCAGTCATGTAAATGGTAATATAAATAAAATAATGAATAGTTATTTAATAATATCAGTATGTTGCAAAAGAGTGATTCAAAAAATGAGTTTATTTTCTGGTCAATTTATCATCAATCAAGTATGATTACAGATACATACAATAGTTAGCTTATAATTCGCTTGTAAATGATAGTAGCAACTTTTTAAAACAAATAAACAAAGAATTAAGATGAATGAGCCGTATAAAACTATTGTCTCTTTATGAAGAAATCGAATAAAGATTAACAAACGGTAAGTTGAAATGAGCAATTTGATCGGACTGATTTCAAAAATAAAATGTAATCAGACACAGAAAGAGAGAGAGAGTGAAGGAAGAAAGATTGAGTAGATTGGGTAATGGGATATTTTGCTAGATTTATAAAATTATTTTCTCTATGTTACAGGATCTCATTTCATTACATTGATTTGTTCAACATCGAAGTAGATGTTTTCAATTTTTTTAATGATGTCAGCTAATCATTTTAAAATTGATAAACTATTTGAGACTAGTCTAGTTAAATATCGAGTATATTCAAAATAGTATTTTGAAAATTAAAAAATCCTAAAAGGACAGGAAATTCCAATATTATGATTGCATCAATGTTAATATTTGCTATTAGTTTTTTTTTAATTACCATTCAATGAAGTATGTTTAAGTGGGCGATTCTGATGAACATTCATCAGCATTTGAACAAACCACTTGATATTACAGTTTAAGTGACAAGTTTATCAAGGTCAGTACATGTAAATGTTATGTATAATCATAGCAAAGAGTTTAATTTAAATTATTCACAAACGACAAGTATGAAGTCAACAAAAATCTAGCAATGACTAGTAGCTTCAAATGAAATTAGATCTTGCGAAATAATCATCATTGGATTATAAAACTAATTCAATCAATATTAACAAATAGAATTGAGTGTATACAGTATTCAATGTTAAACAATTTGTTTCGTGATGAATATTGATTATTGTTCTGTTCTCTATAATAATAATAATAATAATAACGGATGTATTTGATATGTATGAACGTATGGTATTTCATGTATAGATTTCATGATTTTTATTCACTTGTTTAGCAATACGAAATTCTTGTGAAAAAATGAATACATCCAATCGAATGAGAATGATGTCAATGGATGAAAATGAAGATGATGCTGATGATAATGATGATGATAGCAATAATAATAATAATGATAAAAAATTCCATTATTATACAAAAGACAATGATAATTATAAAGGACAAAATGCAAGTTATTTACGTTCTGAAAATTCATATCCATCAATCTCACAACAATATATTCATAATACAAATGCAACATATAGGAAACCGTACTGTCATGATGAAATGCCCCAGTGTACTACTACTACTACTACTACACAATTACCAGGTTTACAAGAAAAAATGAAAAAGAGTAAGTTGTGTATATATGATGATAGATTGATTGTATTTAATTAAATAATCATTTTACAACAATGAGAATTTCACATGAAGTTAGCGAATATTCGATTGATTCACATTGTCAAATTATATTGGCTTTTACATTCATCTTAAAACAATGACAACGGATGATACTGATTTTTTTTCATACTGTTATTGTTATTAGGTGACAAGTTTGATGAAAGCAAGAGGGAAACAATGTAAAATTCTAACATGTGTTGAGTGTAAAAAATTAATCTCCTCTACAATTACTTTACTGTTCGTTAAACAGCAATAAAAATTAAGTATTATAAATATTTTAACTGTATGCAGTTCACTTATTGACTGTATGTTGTAATTTTCAATACGGTTCTCGTTCAAAGAATCCTTGTCACACATTATTACATTAGGTGAATTTAGTTATTTTGATTATTGAATTCAGAAAATGAGTTATTTTCATAAATTAATAGAACAGTAATCTGCTTAAGTGGTAAACAAGAATCATGATTTTGTTTGTTGTTTTTAATTACGGTAATAAATAGAAATTAGTTGCAGACTATTGTTCGGATAAATCACAATAAATTTGACTGATATTAAATAAAGAAATTTATAAAATCAAAGAGGTTTTGATAGTTTTACAAAATTATCCAGATGGCTTATTTTTGATAAATAGCCTTTGAAATATAGTGAATTTGTATGATTATGCCAATCGTATTATCCTTGATACATTTAATTTCAAAGCTTACTTATACGAAGTTGGTAAGGAATGAATACACGAAGACAAAAACTCTAAGGAATAAATTAATAATAATAAAGCGTTAGAAATTCACATTTTAGTAAAAACACCGTGCCCAAGCAGACAGTATCATTTTCAGTCATGCTTCAAGGCATCTAACGAAATCATACATTGTGATCTGCTTAGAAGACACAATAAAAGAGTTGAAGTTTATGAATGACAAACTAATCGAAATAGACTATCGGGAAAGCTTTTCAAAGAACTATTCGTATACAGGGACAAACAATTTGGAGATATTAATATTGTTTGTGAGAAAACCATATTTAAAAAACTACAAATTAATGAAGATTCCGCTAGGGATGTCTTGCATAACAAAATGGCGAATACATATAAAAGGACACTTTATGCAACACTAATTTTGACTTAGTATTTTCTAGTGAATCAACGATATCTACCCAAAAATCAAAGTTATCAGAGTAGGAATAATCTACAAAATCCGCCTCTTCTGAGGACATAGATTACTACTAAGTAATGTGACCAACGAATGTCTGGATATCTCATAGCTTGGCTTGGGACGGATCAAACAAGAGCTGTACACCATTGTGTATTTGTAAATATGGTGTTCATATTGTAGACAAAATCAAACCGTTTGAATTGATCTATCGTTTTATCATTTCTCAACAGGGTTTGATTTCTTCTTCTATATATCATAGATGCCAAGGAAGTTCGGAACCTCTAACTGTACTTCATATGTTTTGAAATCTGTGACATTCCTGCTTATTGATTAGTGGGATATGGCCTAATGAGCTGTTTTACAAGGTTTTTTCACATCCTTCTTTTCGTTTACATTCTTCACAGTCTGATTAAAAACACAGTTCGTACTTTTGATTCTGTTATGTTTAGTTATATAATTTATTACATTGTGATAGTTAATTCATATCTAACCTTAACTGGTTTATTACTTTTAGAAACTAATAAAAATATTGATGTATATAGCAGTGGAATCTGATCAAAACATTATTCACTTGGTCGTATTATCTTACATTTACTTTTAAAAAGATTAGGAACTGTTTTCAATCAGATCTAATATATGTATGTGGCTTGGCGTAAATAGAAATGAACCCACTAAATTGTTTCACTAACTTTCTTAGCAATGATGTTTGAAAATGACTAGGACAAATAGTCATTAACGATTAAGTGCTCATTACCGATTGATGCGAAATTGGTAATTAAATATGAGATCATATAGACATTAGAAATTAAAAGTTGAAACAACTGAATTATCTACTTTTTTCAAAATTAAAAAAAGTAAATATTGTATTCATTCTTATCTTGAACATTTCATTATTTGCCCCAAATTTCTTGATATTCACATCTTGATTGTCGTTAAAATTAATTTCATTATAGACAAACATTCATTTTTACTGGGTTACAAGAGATGAAGCCTTAAGCTGATGAATATATATTTGGGCATAATCTGTCGATGTATCGACACATACACGTCCATAAATTGTAGACGTAACTCAATATCATCAAGTTTAAAAGAATGAATTGAAATATTAACCTTCTGAGTTATAGTCATCTGGTATTACTATTATTGTAGTTTCATACCTTTCGTTAAATGAGTAACAGTTCTGAAATCCAATATGTCTCGGTCAAATCAATGATATGAATAAATGTCTCAAAGATTTAATTTTAAAGAAAACTAACAAGCAATTTAGGAATTGTTTCAAATTTTTTAAAAATTATCAAACTTAAATGAAAAAATGGACATTAAGAAATCTATTGTCATTCAAGATAGTACATAGTTTTTCACAAAGTAACCACAATACTATGAGAAGAAAATATAGTCAGGTGTAGATTAATTGATCATAGTCTTCAATATTTCACCAGATATGTCTGGATCTTTTAAAGTCACTCAAATGTATATTATAGTGTACAGAGAGTTCATTTATTCCTCAGTAATATTTTGAGAAGTTTTCATCACTCAATAAGCATTCACTTCCTAGCGTTTTCGAAAATTTTCCCTTTGATTTGATGGATTGTTACAGCATGTGAGTGTAATTTTTACTGGGGATTTCATTTCAAGCTCTGTTTCAGTTTCATTGTATTTTTTATTTGGCTTATTAGAATTCGCTACACTGAGGTGTTTATAGCAGATATATATTGGTAACTTCAAGTGTTTTGGATGAAATATTCAATCGACATGTACACTTTGACTTCCGGCACCAAACCACTTAACGCAATGAAAACTTCAGATCATCGTTATATGAATAACAATACTGTTTCAAAGATCACTACAAACTTTACTCAAACTTTACTCATAAAGTTAATCATTACTATGTTATCAGAATTTATGTTGGAAATAGTTTCTTTCGTGCGTGTAGTTTAAATCATCTTTTATCGAGCTTGTGATGTGGGTACATTCGGCTGATGAGTCCCAAAGAGTATGAAATGCTCGTCCTGGATTCCAATGCTAGCCACTATACAACTCTGGAAATAGTTTCTCTCATTAGATTATTTTCAAATGTAACAGTATCTCATATTTCTTTATTCTAACAGTTTTTCATCAATGTGTAATTGTTTTCATCACGATAGTTATTCAGCATGATGGTTTTATTTTTTATCCATCTTTAAATATTTTTACATTTATATCAAATAGAAATGAAGGCTGATGATACTTTCGGATGTTTATCGTGTTTATTTCTAGTTTGCGGGCAATTTAAAAAAATCATGTGGTTAGTTTATACAACAAAAAACTCTTTTGATTTATGTTGATCATTAGAGAGATAAGATCGGTTATTGCTGAAATATATATATATATATATATATATATATATATATATATATATATATTGATCTGAACATGAAACTCTTTTTTTCTTTTTTAATATACTCTAGCAAACTAACTTTAAAAAAACAGTATCATTATAAAACAAAACGACATGAAAAAACCGAAAATTTCGGCATTATTATTTTTATCCATAATAGTTTGAATTTCAAATTTACGCATTTCGTTTTTCTAATAACAATAAAATTCTATGTTATTATTGTGGTTATTGTTATTCTCATCCTATTAAAAAGACAAACGAACTTTCATTATTTAATATCTATTTCTGTATTGAAATGAGATACGTCATAAACAAGCATAGGATCAGGAACCATATCAAAGGAGTGCAAAGTCAAATTAGAGAGGCAGACAATGACAGGTTCAAGGTCAATAACAACCAATCAAGGTCGAGGTCAACAGGACAAGATAAGTGTCATAGGTGAAGAAATTCTAATCCTTAACTTCTACCAGAAGTTCGTGCTAATGTTGTTGTTCAGTAGAATAATGAAAGCTCCATAGCCTAACCAACTAGCCGAGAGAACGAAACTCCATCATAATTATCCACCTGAGCTAGAAATTCTTCTCTACCATCTCAAAATACATCTCAAATCACTAGATGCCAGGAACAAAGGTCAAATTCCTCATATAAGATTTTTCAATAGTAATGCTTCACTAATTTTCCCATATATTGATATCAAGAGATATTTTTAAAAATACGGCACCATCTGAAAGAATACAAATGCGTGCTGAATCATCGATTTTTCCTATTTTACATGTAGTTGTATTTTCAAAAAAAATAATGTCGATTTTCCGTACAGTTTATTGATGAAATATTTCTAATTAGTATTCATATAATTAGATGATATCATTATTCATTTTTGTTTATAAATATACATAAACAGATCCATTATTGTCTACAAAGAGCTTTTCACTTGATGTCCCACGATTCGATCAACCGAACGATTCTAATTTAATTGGTTCTGGAGGTTCCAGTCCAGGGCGTTATTCTGAAGGATTTCGTAAATCTTCAGTCGTTAAATATCATCCACATTTACCTCCTGGAATTTCACCATCATCTGTCTCTCCAAGGATAAATGGTAAGTGTTTACAATTATCATAAAACAAACAAATCTACTCTTATGAAACATGTTACTGTTTTATCATGTTTTAACACTTGATATCTTTTACAATCATGACAAACTATTGTGAAATGAACTCTTCTCTGAAAATGTTTACTCTGATTTGTGAATTCATTGAACAGGGATACAAAAGTATCGGCATTTTTTTAGCAAACAAATTAAGGAATAATCAATGGAAATGAGAAATCTATAAATTACTTCATGATTTAATTTTTGTGAATATTAACTAGCATGATTACAGATATTATTGTATAAATCATGAAATGATTCAAAATGAATCTAATTATTTTCTCTTATTATTTAAGTTTTTAATTTTTTGTGTTTATCTGCTTCAATGCGTAAACATGTGTTTGTAAGTATAAATCATGCTTTTAGGAAAATAGGAAATGTATATTTGTTTTCTGTTAGATTGAAAGATGTTTGGTGATTGATTAAGCAGAAATTAATAAATCATTAAATTAATAGCTCAATAACATTTGGTTATGTTTTATTTGAATGATTGGATAGAAAACAAACAAACAAACAAATACAAAATAAAAATTGTTCCAAAAATTCACTTGAAATAATTCAGATAACTAGTTCAGTTTCTAGTGTTTTATTCTTCTCTTCGCTGAACTGTTTCAATGATAAGATAGTAGTGTTGATCAAGACACTGTCATGATTGTTTAATGCAAGGCATAATTCCAAAATAATGGAATATCCAACACAAAATAGATAGTAATTGAAATTAAAACACTTTATTACGTCAGGATTTAAGAAACTGACTACTCCTAAAAATAGTGAAGACGCTGAGAAAATGCACAGTCTTCTGACCACCCTAAGCAACAATGCAAGCATGTTTGGGATGCGGTTTTCCCCTTCGAAATGCAAAATGTTGCTTCAAGACTGGTTTTCATCGGCACCTGAACTAGTGATAGGGAGTGAAGTAGTCGAGCGTGTTGACCGCTTCACTTATCTCGGCAGTCTCATCAGTGCTGATGGCCTGGTGACTGACGAAATTTCAGCACGAATACAGAAAGCTCGATTGGTTTTTGCCAACCTGCGTCACTTATGGCGTAGGCGAGATATCCGTTTGCTGACTAAAGGACGAGTGTACTGCGCAGTGGTTCGCTCCGTCTTACTTTATGGCTGTGAAACATGGCCAATGAGAGTAGGAGATATTCCTAGGTTATTGGTTTTCGATCATAGGTGTCTTCGAAGCATTGCTCGTATATCCTGGGACAACCGAGTGAGCAACGCTGTTATTAGGAATCGGGTGCTAGGTAAGAATGGCAGATCAATCGATGCAGTAATGAAACTTCATCAGTTGAGGTGGTTGGGACATGTGCTGCGTATGCCTAAACACCGACTGCCTCGAAGAACTTTGTTTTGTAGTGTAGTTGTAGGTTGGAAGAAAGTTAGGGGCTGCCAAACTAAAACATGGCAGAAATCCATGAAGTCATTGACGAGTGGACTTAGCCATGTCGGTAGTTGTCGACTAACTGGTTGAGGTCCGCGAGATGATAATAATCGATGGTTAAATACCTTGAATGACATGGCTCAAAATCGTTCGCAATGGCGCCACTGCATTTATTTTTTGTGTTCTCTCAAATCCTAATCTTCTGGATTCTTCAACTTTGTAAACTTTTCCCACTGACTCCTAAAAATAAATAACCGATATAAGGGTGAAGTGTATTTGACTGCGTTTTGAATAACAGTTCAATAAAATACACGCTAGTTAAAACGATACAATACAGATAATTATGTATTTTACTTATGACTAATGAATTTTATTTCCCTAAACACTATTCTTAACTCACACGTTTATTTATATATCTGTTAAATCTGAATTTCGACTGAATACCTTCCTTCGGTTCATGTATAATCTGAAATAAATCTCATGTTCAGAGAATATTGGGTTTTGTTTTTCGAACAATATTTCTGAATTATTACAAAAACATGTTTTGTCTGTTTTATTGTTTTAAGTTGCTTAAATAATGATTTATTACTGATTGTTTGTTTATTGGAAGTACAACAGTAACAAATTATTAAAATAATGAAGAAAACCAAATTGACTATTCAGCACACCAATGACATTTCAATGAAGAAACTTTTATTTCCACTATTCGAAATACAAACTGATTTGCATGCATAGTTCTCATTGAACACAATAAACGCATCACATACTGTTTCAACACTGTTGGCAGATCAAAAAAATTAAAAAATCCATTACTTGTGTAAATCAAGGCATATATTAATAAGTTCACTAAAAAATCCTCTCAAACTACATGGGGAGCATATGTCTCGAAAAGTATGTTGTCAACAAATCATCATTCTCTGATAAGCATTTATTTTTTGACCAGAAATCTTAATTTTCTCATCAGTTTCTTTTTTACAAAATCGCATAATTAAAAGAGTGATTTGTAATTTTGCTATATAAAATATGTAACTTTTTTTATAAATCTGTAAACAGCAAAAGCTGACAGTCCACAAGTAATCAATATTTGACTATACAAAGTATTCGATTTCCAGTTACATATTGTATCATGATGATTTCTAGTAGTTATCTACTCATAAGCCTGTTTATTTTAAAGTATATCAAAATTCAGGGTTTAAAAGCAGATGTGTTCCACTATATATAAAACAAGTGAAAACCCTATTTAGGAGGCACTTATAGAATTTGTAAGCATACATAGTTAAGCTGTTACTCCAAACTGAATAATAATTACTCCAAATCAGAAAAAAACTTTTATTAGCTAGAGTGAATTTGTATAAATAAATCTAAGTTATGTTTTAATTCACGTGCAGATGTTACATTTCCTGAATTATTAAATAAATTACTGTAAGCGGAAATAATTAGAGAAAAATATACATGAAGCAGTCTGAATCAAACGTAAATCAAGTAGTAGTTAACGTTTATAGTATTGCGTTGACTCCTTGTCCAAGTCCGGTACTGATTCCTCTGGTAATAGGAACGCATCTCAACCAATAGAATGCATCCATCAACTCTAACTTTGAAATGAAATGTTTAGTCGGTTCAGCCTATTATTTCGATACTTTATCAAGCTTCAAAAACTTTGCATCACAAAACTTGACATACCTTTAAACAATTACCTACCACAAAAAAGAAACTAACACTTGATGAAATAATATAAATTTACACTGAGACAAAACAAATTTAAAGGTTCCAAGTAATTTTGTAAAAAGTAAACAAGCAATGGACTGAAATATATACGGCTGATTTATAATTTTTAAAATTGAACGCCGATTTGTTACTCGAAAATGGTTGCCTAACTTTGATTATATTAAACAGTAGTACGACTTAAAGAATTGAATTATTATGTTAAATTATTGACAATACTTAAATTGCGTACATTTGTCAGTTCGTGATAAGTATTATCACTAGCGTAAACATTGAGAAATTAGCGTAATTGGTGAGGTGGTAGGCAAGTGACTTGTTCAAAATATTTGGCTTCAGGAATACATTTAACATTTTGCATCATTTCGTTCATCTTAAAAATCTTAAAATAACTATCTCATTATTACTAGGCATTAGTTGAAATAAATACTGACTATATATTTCATATAGAAGAAGACATTTATTAAGTATTATTGATTTAAAGCAAACGAAACAACTTGATCCTGTTTGTTTATTGAAGTAATCCCAGAAACTAAGGTATTTCTATCTAATATTTGTGCAATCAAATGGATTACACACATTAAGAAACATTCTACGTTAGTTAAGAATTGACCTCCAAACAATTATGCTTTAATTGATTTACTAGATATGAACATTAACTGCTATTGATTTATAGGTATTAATCAGTATGATATATACATTGCTCAAAATGTCGGTTGAATGACTATTTGAAATCAGAGAACACTTTAAAGCAAAGCTTCCTACAACTTTCTTTCAACAACCTTAATCCTAGTTTACGACTAACCATTATCACTCGTTTCTTAGTTGAGTACTCAGAAAGTAAATTAACTGCATGACAGAATCTAGATAGAATTCATGAAAAAAAAGCATGACGATGGCTATTCTTTGATGTTCGAAAAAAAAAAGGAAAAGAACTTTATGAGTAATTGAAATCGCTGGAATCGGAAAGCAGTAAAATATTGCTTTCAAAAAATAATTTTTTTTAGCATGTATTTAATATAACTGTGGTATATAGAGATAAGAAAAGACTCAAAAGAGCAATTAACAACGAAAAAAATTAAATGATCCTGTTTATTAATGGCAATGTCAATGCTTGTTTTTATCTGCGTAATAAAACGAAATTTATCTTATTTTTTTTTGGTCAAAAAAAAAATGCCCAGTCAACCGTTTAATATGCAAGTGAACAAATAAATGTAGATAAAAGCAATGGTCAAATAAACTTTTTAGGCGGTATATTTTTTTATGAATAACTTTCAGTATAAACCGAAGCGTTTCTTTTTCTGCAGCAAATGATTTTCTGTTCACAATGGAATAGAATTTCACTGTTGAATAGATCGTTTTACGCTATTTCAATGACCTGATCAAATAAATTTACGTATATAAAAATTGTTATGAAATAGGTGTAAAAGACTGTCTGACCGTTATGCTTTATGATGAAATGAACACAGTTGATTCTGTACTACAAGTATAAAACTATTGTATAAATTAAGGCGTTTTCTGGAATATGTATGTCTAGATTGTTTAATAACTTTAGTGAGCGAAACGATTAGATAATACAGCAGAAAATTATTACCATATTCATCTTAATCTTTACTATCACAATTGAATTCGGAAAGAACTTAATTCTGTTAATGCTCAAGTGTTAAAGTTAGCATCCAATAGATACATCAAACGGTATCATATCGTTAAAGTTTATTGACAATTCTAAAGCTTCTTTAAAAACATTTACAAATCAGATTTAGTTGAATACGAACATGTTATCTTGACTGCATGTTCCATGTTGAGGTAAATCATAAAACTGAGAAGAAAATAATGAATA